TCAAACACACAGACGTAAACAAATGTGTATGTTTGTAGAGTAATTTACAACTGCTTCAAACGCGGCTCAGCCAATCAGAATCAAGCACCGGAACTCTCCGCTTTATAAACTAAATTAATATATTCATTAATATAAATAATTGTATTCTAATTCTATTCTTTAAAAAACTGCCCCTTTTAGACTTGCACTCTATTCATTTTTTTTTTTTTAATCTTTAAAAAAAACTTCTTTAAAAAAACAAAATAAATGCAGCTTTGCTGAGCAGGAGAGACTTTTAATCCAAACCTTTGTCCGGCAGTGTATATGATGTGCTCTTGGTCTCTCAGGGTTTGTGTCCTGCTGTTACATGGCCTTTAAGATCGTGTCTCTTGAGGAACGTCTGACAATGGAGTTTCCCCATAAAAGGTTAAATTAATTAAATTGTATTATTTGAGTTATTTGGTAAAGCAGAATGTCATAAAATCAAAATGCACCAGATTTCAGTAGATCATCAAATCTTTTTTATATATATAATTCTACTGTTGTATTCTTCATATAATCTGTTTCTGTTGTCATCTATGTATATTAGACATCATATGGCTAAACATATGGTATGTGTGGTTATGATTCGAGAGATGAATATCAAAGCCTGTTTGCTGGAGATGCAGCTGAGATCTGCTCGGTTCTTTCTGCAAGTCTTCTGAAGCTGGAAAAGGTTTGTCTGTGTGAACACATCTGAACGTCTCAGGATGGAAGGATTGGTTTTCTTAATCAAACATTCAATGTAACCGATCCATTTGTAGAAGGACGTGGGATGAAATCCAGCACACAAAAAAGTGGTGAACTCCTAGAAAACAGATTGATTTAAAAGATTAGTTCACCCAAAAATGAAAACGTGCTCACCCTCAGGATCATCCCAGATTAGGATGAGTTTGTCTCTTCATCAGGTTTGTAGAAATGCAGCATTACATCAGTGTCTCTCTGCAAGTGAATGGGTGCCGTCAGAATGAGAGTCCAAACAGCTGATAAAAACATCACAATAATGCACAGCACTCCAGTCCATCAGTTAACATCTGGAGAAGACAAAAGCTGAAACAAATCCAGCATTAAGACGTTTTTAACTAAAATACCATAGAGTCCATAATCCATAATAACTCTTCCTTCAGTGAAAAAGTGCATCTCCTGTTGTCTCTCACATCAAAATCCAGCCACATATTTGTTTAGAGCTGTTTAAACGCTGCTTGATCTGTGCAGATTTCTCTCCTGATTCACACCAGAACACTTTTTCACTGGAGGAAGCGTTATTATGGATTATAGACTCTATGGTATTTTAGTTAAAAACGTCTTAATGCTGGATTTGTTTCAGCTTTTGTCTTCTCCAGATGTTAACTGATGGACTGGAGTGCTGTGGATTACTTGTGGATTATTGTGATGTTTTTATAAGACTCTCATGCTGACGGCACCCATTCACTGCAGAGCATCCATTGCTGAGACACTGATGCAGTGTGTTTTTAGTGACACATTCAAGTACTGTGAAAAAATCACCATAGTAAGTAGAACTAGTTCTCATTTGCGGTTTTATACAAGCATTAGAAGTCAAATATAACCTGAGCCAGTGAACTGTTTAAATAAATGTATAAAATGAAATTAGCTTGATATTTGTCTTTGTATGAGTGTCAAAGATGTTAAGATGTCCGCATCAAAAGAAATTGACAAAAGTGATTATATGTAAGTAATGTGTCTACTTTTAAGGTTTCAAACAAGTTTTTGAAGAATAAAATGTCAAAATTGGGATGAAATAATGTTCCATTGTCATTCAGTGTAACACAATATTTATGTAAAAATTCAAACAACATGCTTATTCTGACGTGTACATATTAAAATATATAAAATAATAAGGGAGTGTATTAAATTTGATTGTGTTTTAAATTCTTACTGAACAAATGGGCAAAACCTAGGATAGTGGCACGTTTTAAAAATGTAAAATTACAACTAATTAGTATTTGGGGTGAAAGTAATTAGTCTTTTAATATGTCATAAATAGATTTTTGTTGTAAATATGCCTGACAATATTGTTACACTGAATGATATTTTAGTGGCTGTCTTCTGTAAATCAGGGGGAAATGTATGATATTTATTTTTTGCTCAGAAAAACAAAAACAAAATTGCAATTAAATTAAACAGAAAACTTTTAAAAAATTTTGGGGAAAAACAACAATTTAAATCAGTTTTACACTTATTGTTTTTACGCTTAAACCCTTTTTCGTCTTTGACCCATGAACAGACTGTACAGTGACTGTACAGTATTCATATCTCATTAGATATGAATGAAAAACTGTGTATTGTCATTATGAGTGAATAAAGTTATAGACTGAACGTTTTCATGTCATCAGTGTTTTGTCAGCACCATCATAACGGCTCAGGAAAGTTTTGAGATGCTTGTCGTTGTGGGCCGAACCGGACGATGATTGTGATTTAATGACACACAACCTGCAGACGTTCAGAAAGAAACACAAACCCTGCTGCTTTTATTTGTCTGGATGAAACCGGAGGCATGTGGAACTAATATGAAGAAAAACAGAGCATGATGATCATATGAGAAAAGACAAAGCACTTTTCCTGATCCTGTGCGCTCTGGAACACAATGTTCTTTTGAGGAGGATCTCTTTCAGCTCGGCATTGTGAAGAGTGAGATTGTGAAAGAGCGTGTTGTGTTATATGCTAATGTGACTGAAGGTCATCACTCCTCTCCACAGAAAACCATTGTTTCTCTCTGAACTGGAATGAGGACGAGTGCGGCATGAGCGGGGTTTGAGGTTCTGAGCTCTTAAACATTAATATAGTTGACTATAGTACTTTATTTAAATATTTACTTACTTACTTACTTACCTACCTATCCAAAATCAAGATTTTAGGTTTAAATGTTTAAGGGAAAGAACAAATTATCAGCTGCTGCAACTGGTCACCTTCTTTCTTTCTAATCACTTTTTTTTAAATAAACAATTTCAATAGAACAATTATTCCTTTGATTAATATTAGCTCATAAAACTAAGTTACGTTAGAAATACACTGTAAAAAAAAATTCCGTAAAATTATTACAGTAAAATAATATTGTATTAATAAAATGTTTTATTAGAATAAATCTAAACAGAAATGCTCATACAATAAAATAAGTAAATTAGATAATAAAATAAAAAAATATTTTATTTATATTTAAAAAAAAAAAAATAAACTAAAATAATAAATTAGACATACAAAAGAGCAAAAAGAAGTGTTTCATTTATTAACACTATATTAGTTAACATGTATTAATGCTGAAGAATAATTCTACAGCATTTATTAGTTCATATTAATTTCAACATTTACTAACAGCTATGTTTTTTTACATAAAAAAAAAAGTTTTTGTTAACATTGGTTAATGTGCTGTAAACTAACCTGAACAATTGTATAAGTATTATTAAATGTTATGTAAAATATGTCGTTCACTGTTAGTTCATGTTAGTTAATGATAATTAGGCTACAGGTACAATAATAAATTAGACCCATGAGATATAATAAATGTTTCATTTATTAACACTAGTTAACTTTAATTAATGCTGAAGAATAATTCTACAGCATTTACTAGTCTTAAAGTTAATTTCAACATTTATTAATAGGCTACATTTAAAATATATATTATGAAGAATTCATTTGCAAAAACAGATAACTCCGTTTTTAACAATTTTCAAAAATCATGTTTTTTTCATTGTGCAATCTCAATCAAACTGCAGTTGGGTTATTTTGATTAGGGGTTAAAAAAATAACTAAAAATACAATAAAAACATGATAACATAATTTAAAAACATTAAAAAAATAACAAATAAAAAAACCGGAGATCTGTTTTTGCAAATAAACTCTTCATATATATTATACAAAAATGTTTAACCTTAGTAAATGCACTGTGAACGAACAGGAACAACTGTACAGATATTATCAAATGTTATTGCTCACTTGCAGCTCATGTTAGTTAATGCGTTAACTAATGTTACCGGAGCGTTATGAAAACAAACGCGTCTGTGTCTCTGCGCGCAATTACGCGCCGCTGGAGACGCGCGGTGACGCACGCGAAAACATCAATGAAAACATCAGAAATCAACTGATTTTATTCGACCCTGATCCTAAACACTCTTTCAGCTCGGAATCGGGGTTTGTTAAGCGTGCACAAAAGCCAGCCGGCGGTTGGAGCTCTGCAGTCTGTCAATCAATCAGCGCCGGAGAGTCACGAGTGTCGTTACGTCTGACCGATTATAACCGGCGCTGATCTCCGAGTCTCTATAGGAGCTGATGGACGCGTGATTCTCCATCACCTCCATCATGTCAGATCAGCCCTCATCTCCTCCATCCGCGCAGAAACCCGCGCTCCGGTCGCTGGGGTCCTCTCAGAGTCGCTTCCAGGTGGATCCGGTGGCGGATGCTCCTAAAACTCCGCCGGGATCGCGGTCCTCCGCCGGCGAGGAGTCCAAGAGCCGGGTCCGCGCGGTGAACTTCTTGAACCCGTCTGATGCCGCGCCTGACGCCGGTGTGAACGGAGAAACGGTGAGGAGCGAGGCGAGCCTGCACTCTTCCAGTCATTTCTCTGACACGCACTCCAGCACGTATTACCTGCGCACCTTCGGGCACAACACCATCGACGCGGTGCCCAACATCGACTTCTACCGGCAGACCGCAGCTCCGCTCGGGGAGAAGCTCCTGCGCCCGTCGCTGTCGGAACTCCACGATGAACTCGACAAGGTTTGTGCTGCACTTCATCATCATCTCTCCTCTGACACTCATTATTGCAGGACTGATTTACTTTTAAACTGCGTGGCTGTTGCTTTTTTGCAGTGTTGGGGAGTAACTAGTTACATGTGACTAAATTAGGTAATGTAATTACAAAATAAATATAATTGCAATCTGTTACAGTTACTGAGAAAAAAATGTGTAATTAAATTACAGTTACTTATGAAAATGTTAACGATTGCAAAGGGAGTTATATCT